GAGGGAGTAGGATTAAATAAGACTATGAAGATTAGAGATGTTTGGAGATAGATCTGAATGATTTGTCTTGAAGGAAAATTTGTTGAATTATTATAGGATGAGATGAGAAAGTTATATAACTGAGAAAGTAGTTGTTGGCTGATAGTGAATCTTGCTTTGCTAGCTATTGTACAAGTCCACAGATATATTTGATCTTCTACTGCTATTTTGCATAAATAACAAGTGTCATTTTTATATATGTGAGGTTTATGAATCTTGAGATATTGTAGAGTTGGTAACATATTATGGAATGACTTGATAAAGAAAGTACAGATTTTAGAAGCATGGGAATTGGTATGAATATTATTGATTCCACCATCCTGATTCTATACTGAAAATGTACTAAACCAGTCAGTACTTTGTAATAAGGATTGTATATTATGTTTGATTCTCAGTTCATTCTGTCACTTATAAATACATGAGTGGTGATGTATTTTTTTAAGAAATATTCTCAAGTTGATATCTATCAGAGTAAATTGATTGAATATAGATATAAATTTGATATATGATAGATTATGATAGTTGATGTGAAGAATGTTCAAATTATGATCTTGGTTAGCAAGTTTGTTAGCTAGATTATTGCCTGGATTGTTAGAATGGCCTTTGATTTTGTAAATCATGATATTAAGAGCTTTATTATTAATGTTACTATCAAGGATTTCTCATAATAGCCAATTAGATTATTAATATAATTGACAGTTTGATTGTAGTGGTCGTAATATAATATTATTCTTGAACCCTTAGATGGTTGATTAACTATCAGAAAAGATGGATACTTTTGAGTTTTCTGGTAAAATTTCTGCCAAAGTGCAGATAGTGAATAGTTCTGTTTTTATTGTGGATAATGGGTTGATTATTGAAAACTTGAAATCTGTTTTGAATGATCATGAGGTCTATGCTGCTCCTGCTGATACTTTGGATAAGCCAAAGTTTGTTATTGACCTGTCTGTAAAAAAATTTTTGTCTGCATCAACTAGATCTAGTTGTATTTTTGAATGATACCAATACAAATACAGATCAGAATTACTGTTAAAATATGTAAAAATATGGTGAGCTGGGATTTTATATGAGTCTTTACTATGACTGTATTGTTTATTAATGATTGTTAAGTCAGATAGATCGCTATGATTGGTAATTCTTTGTGTTAAATTAGTAAATCATCTTGGCTTATACCCTTGTTTGGTTGAATGAAATTTATATTTGTATTATTTCCATAAAATAAATTTTGTATTGTTATATTTAGTGAGCTGAGACAGAAATAGAACATTGTCTTGTGAAAGAGATTTTCTGCAGATTTTATGAACAGGTCAGTTGTTTAGAATTTTTGAGATGAGCTATCTGTACGAGGATTGTATTGATGTTAAAGTGTCATTGAGAGAGGAAAAAAAGAATATGCTATATTGATATATTAGGGATATTATGCTAGCAATGAGATTTTTTCCAATTGGGATGGGTTCTGAAGTTGGATTGAGAAGAATTGATTCTTTTGTCCATCTTTGATGTTAAAGCTTTTGTAATCTGATTTGTGTAGTCATGTTCAAAATTATTTTGTCATTGAGTCAAAGAAATAATTCAGAGATTTTACTTCTCGTTAAAATATCTTGTAGATTTTCAAGTGTCAAAAGAGCAGGATGATGTAAAATGGAATTGAGATAGTCTGAGGGGAGCTTTGATTTTTGTTTTACTATTTTCTTGACTTTTCTCATTATTGATTTACAGAAAGTGATAGAAGAGACAAAAAGTTGTGTTTTGTATTCAATGGCAGGAAAAAGCACTCTGTTGAAGATATAAATAGCTTGTTTTTCAGTGATAAATTTTTTTTCAAGGAGTAATATTATTGAATTTACGTCTGCTTTGATTTATTTTTGTTGAGTTTTGAATTTTCCATCTGGACTGAGTAGAATTTTGAGATATTTAATATGATTATTGTTGCAAATAATTTTGAGTTCTGAGCCATCTGAATTGAAGGATAGCTTGGTTGGGGTAGCTTGTTTATCAGAATTGATTGTTATTGCTTCTGTTTTTTTTGTGTTAATTACTATGTCACATATTGTGAAAAATTGTTGAGCTAACTGAAGTATCTGGATCATGCTGCTTTTGGATTTGGCTATTCATACTGTGTCATCGATGAAAGTCAAGTTAGATATATGAATTTGTATTAGATCAGGTTTGAAGTGTGAAAATTATATTGATGTATTATTGATATTATAATCATAAATAAGTTTGATAGAGTCGATTATACATAGTAATGGATCATAGAAGATATACCAAAGTATTAGTGAGTGGACTTCTTCCTGGTCTAATTCATCTTCTACGTGATATAGTTCTGTGAATCTATATTCTGTAAAAATGCGGTTATGTCAATTCAGCTGTAAGTTTTATAGTAATGTGATAAATTTTTGATTCATTTTTATTCTATTGAGGCTGAGTTTTAGGATAGATCAACTGACAGAGTCATAAATACAGTGCATATCTTGAAATACACATCAAAGTTCTTTCTTATTTTCTCTGACATCTTTCATAATATTATTAATGACATGTAATGAACAAGCTATTGAGATATTTTTTAGTACTGAAAAATTATTGCCCTTAAGAATGTTATATTTAGTACATAAATTAGAGATACGACTAGTAAGGATCTGTGAAAAAAGTTTTCTTGCTGTGTCTAGAAGTACTATTAGTCTGGTGATATCCAGATTTTCTTTCCAGTCAGTAGGTTTAGGAATAAGGATAATGTTTGCTTATTTCTATTCATTAGGAGTATCTTGTATTTCTAAGTATTTGTTAAACAGTGTGATGAGTATGAATAGAATCTTTTGCTCACAGTATTGCCAGAAGGAGTTTTTTATATTATTTGATTCTGCTGCTTTGTTTGGATGTAGTAGAGTTAAATGTTGATGGAGTTCAATTAATGAAATAAGAGCTGTAACTAAATTAAATATCGAGTTATTTATAGATTCTAGAGGTTCAAATATTTCTTTCCATCTTTGTGAAGACCAATCCTGTATTTTACGTTTTTGATACCATTAATTGAAATATTGTCTGTCTGTATTTTTAACTTCAATTGGATATTTGATAAAGTATTCATTTTGATAAACTTTGTTAATTGAAATAAAGGGAGTATTCTTGTTAAGAATGTTACTAAACATGCTACTATGATTTTGTTAGAAGTTTGCTTGATTAGTTTTGATAATCTGCTCTACTTGAAGAGCTTGTGTTTTTTTGGATTCAATTTTTTTGTGTATTTGGATTTGTTTTCTAATTTCTTGAATGAGCGTTATAAGTTCTGTAATATAGCTATTACTAGAGTTATTTGTTAAAAATTTTAGTACAGTTAGTTCTAGTTGGTGCAGTTTCTTGAAGAGTTTTATTAGTTTTTGTTAGATTACAGCAATTAATTCTTGTCTTTCATGTTGGTAGTGATATAGATGATATAGAATGCTGCCTAATAATTTGTATTTCCATTGAATAGTAGTTGTGTTTATTGATTGCATTTTGTTAATATTAATTGGTTTTTTTTTGAAAATTTGATTAGCTGAATCGAGTATAATATGTTTAATTAGAAGTCAAAGTTCTGAAATTGTGAGTTATGTAGTATCTGTGTTGATAGAAGGATGTGAATTTATTAATTCTTCAAATTGTGTCCATGTTTCTTTGGATGTATTTTTGGTAATGAAAGCCTGTTGCTTTATTTTCCATCACTTGATTATAGATATTGGAGTTTTCCATAGAACTGGAAATAAATTAATAGAGGATTAAGAGAGAAGATGATCAGAACTGATCCAAAAAAAATCAGAGATTTCTGAAGATGTGCAGAGATAAGCAAGGTTAGAGCTATACCAGATCATATCCAGATAGCATTTTGAGTTTGATCTGGATCAAGTAAAGGAGTTGATATTAGGATGAAGTAATTGATTAATCTCGACTATGTCTTTGAATTTAAGAAGAGAGACTAGGCTATTATTTGGTGGAGAAAAATAATGTTTGTTAAAGTCTTCACAAATAATGAAATATTTAGCTTGTGAAATAGTTTTATTAATGTAATATAAGATTGTTTACTTGACTATTCGATCACTGCCAAAGTTAAAAACTAGTAAGTAGATAGCTATTATTTCTAATTGTATATTGCCAGTGAAAGCTAGTGAAATGTAAATGTGTTTTTCTGGGATTTTGAAAGTTTTTTGGATGTGTCTGGACCAGAATGAATTGAAAAGAATACTGATTCCAGTATCAAGAGATTGTACTTTATTGCAAGACCATATATGAGAGTATTTTATTGATAGGTTGAAGGTAAATTTTGCTTGTTAATTGGTAAGTTTAGTTTCTGTTAAGATCAGAATGTCGAATTTGAGATTTTAAAAGAGAGTAAGAGTGTTATATGATTTGTCAGGAGTATGGAGTTCTCTAATATTAAGTGTGCCTAGGTTTAATTTAAGAGATGAAGAGAATATATTATTATGTGAGTAGAGATTTTTATTTAAGTTGGAGTTATCAATGTAAATTTCTAGATGGTTGATTAGAGAGTTTTTATTTTTATTTGAATTATTATTGTTACTTTGCATAAAGTAAAGATTATTCGATTTGACTTAGTCTGTTCAATAATAGGTTGTGTTGTATATTTAGATGTTGTAGTTGGTTTTTAAGTTCAGTGGTAATTATTGTAAGATTATTATTACTTTTTTGTAGTTCTTCATTTTGTTTAGTGATCATCTCATATGATTTTTGACCTTTTATTTTGCTAAGAGGTTCTGATTCTGGAAGAGTTGGCATGACTGGAAAGTTTAGTATGAGATTATTGTTATTATTGTCTATTTTATGAATTAGAAGATCAATTTTTTTTTCAATATTGTTGATTTTATGGGAGATTTGGTTAAGATCATTAGTAAACTTGTTCATGTCTTGTCAAAGATTTTTGATGAGTATCTTGTGATTTTCTAGTTCTGTCTGGATTTAATTATTACTTGTGTTAAGAATAGAAGAGTTAGAATTATCAGATTTTGTTAGAGTTTGATTATTAAATAGATTGTAGATGGATGAGTCAATGTTATCAGTAGAAGTTGTTTGATTAGATATGAGTGCTTCTGGTGATTTGTTTGTTGGAGCCTTATTTTTATGATAGTAGTTCATATCTGCTTTGGAAAGCAAAGCTTTTTTGAAGTTGAGTGTGAGTGAAGAGATGATTGGTTTATGATATGAGAGATGTCGATTCTCATATAATTTATTGAGTAGGTTATAGGTGATAGCTTTTTTATTTTTTGCTGTACAATGTTTAGTGATATAATTTTGAGAGAAGTAGATGTTGCATACTTTTGTACTAACTTATTTCTAGTGGAGTTATGAGTTATATAATTGAAACTTTTTGGTCATGACAGAAGCTAAATCAGTCTCTAATTCAAAACTGAGAATGGTAACTCTTTAACAATTATATTTTATAGGGAATCAGGAGATGAAACATATCTTAGCATTGATTTTTTGAAGAATATCTTCCAGTTTAAAGGCTGTGATACCATAAGGCAGGTTAACCAGTTTAACTGAGTATGTATCTCATTGTTGAATAATTTCATGTTGATTTAGGAGAGATAATATTCAAATTCTATTTATTTTTAGAAGAACTGACCACTCATTAATTGCGAGTTTTGCTTGTTCAATATTTATAAATCTAACTGTTATGTATGCCCATTTGTTAATGATTTTTTGCTTAATATCCATGATTTCTCCAAATTAAGATATTATAGTACAGATTTGTTTGATTAAGATGCCAAGAGGTACATCTCTAATTGCGACTATGGTATCTGTATTGATATTGATGACAGGAGATGGATATGTAGTTGATAGGAAGAAGTCATTAAGAGAAATATGTGTTGTCTTGTCCAGTAATTTTGCTGAAGAGAATTCTGCATAAATATATTTTTCTTTGTTGCTAATAATTGATTTTGTTTTGAGAAATCCATGAAGTTTATAGAATAAGTTATTGATGAAATTAATATTTTTCTTTGTAGATTGGTTAGGTAAATTTGCTTCTGGGATCTATTCACAAAATCTTTTGATACTGGTTATAATTTCTCATTGGTTATCTTGTGGATCTACAATAGGAAAATTATCTTTATTATTTTTATAATTATTGTATAATATTATATTTTCATTTTTAGCATCAGATGATTCAATTTCCATGTGTAATTGACTGTTATTCTTGTCTATATTAGTAAATGACTATATTTGCTCTTCTATTGAGTGAGAGGTAGTTATTTTACTAATTGCGTTAGATGGGGTTCTTTCCCTTTTGGTTCATTTAACATGTGAGCTACCTGCAGGAGGTATGCAATCATAGGGATTTTTACATGAGCTATTATTAGTTGTTTTGGAAGTTGTGTCTGAAGTTTTGCCGGTTGTTAGAACAGGGGGAATTGGTACTGACTTATTCACTGTGGGGGGAGATTGAAGACCTAAAGCATTTTTAAGATAGTTTAGAGAAGAATTAGGAGTGAAAGGTATTTTGAAAGAATTATTATTATTTTGTTTTTCTATATTATTTGACATGATGTAGAGGTGAAGGAATAAATTATATTGAATAAAAAGAAAAGGAATAAAGAAAAGCTATTATGTATTTTTTAGATTTTTATATTTTGTTTTTTGAAATTTTTTTAGAAGTTTAATTTTTGAAGAAAGAATATATAAAAATAAAGAAAAAAGGAAAAAATAAATTAAAAACTTGAAGAGTTGTAAGAGTTAATTATATTGTATTTGCTAGCTATGGGACTTATACTCATTAATAAAGAAGTATATGAGAGTTTTCACTTTGGACAGCTTGGACTTCACCTGGTCAAGAGATCAACAGGGAAGAGATGCAAAAAAAATTATTATTATTATTATTATTATTATTATTATTATTATTATTATTATTATTATTATTATTTGAATTGCTATAATATAGTCTTATCTAAAAATAGTAACTGTAATTACTATGTTGTAATACTTAAAGATGACTTCTCAATTATTTATTTAAATTTTAATAATTGCAATTTTTGTTGATAGTTATAATATATGTGTCATAATTAGTCACAATTATATTATCAATGATATCATTAGTTTTAGTTAATCAAATTTTAGATATTATATTATTATATAATTTTAAATAAATAACTTTAATTTTAAATATCTTGATCAATTTATA